TGGCTGGGAAATTAGTCTCCTTCAAGTTAATTGTCAAATCGCTCAAAGCCTGAAATTAAACATTAAAGCTGTCGCTTGCGGGCAGAGAAGAATCTCCCCCCACCCCAGCAAAAGCCAATTCTGGCTGTCCAAGCAGAGGGAAGATGGATTCCCTGGCTCGGGGCAGCACTGGTGTGGAGCAGTCAGTGATGGTCCCTGCAGGTGTCATGGGACAAGTCCCCAGCACAGCCTGGGGACCCCACTGCTGCCAGGGCTGGGCAAACCCTGAGCCACGGACAGGCCCTTTCCTGGAGGTTTCCTTGCTCTGGTACCAAAAGGGCTGAATGTGTCTGTGGGCACCTTCCTGGGACCGCTCGAATCCTGGCTCTCCTTTATTCTGCAGGGTGGGAACCTCTGAAGGGGACCCTGAGGTCTCACAGTGCTGAAGTCCCCCCTGGGGACACTGCCCAGCCCCGGGGGGTGCTCCTGCTCCCCGAGGAGGAGCAGATAACCCTTCTTCCACATGCTCCTGCTTGAAAAGGTCGCCTGAAGCAATAGTGGAGTGTGCCAGGGTGTCTCTAGGATCTGACCCGCTTCTCCTTGGCCTTGCAGTGACGGGCTGTCCCGGAGGGGAGATGCATCCTGAATGGGGCTGAGCCCCCTGCCAGGGACTATCGGTGCGCCGCGGGGGCAGCACCGGGGCAGCGGCCGGCGCGCGGCGGCATGGTGGCAACCTTCAAGATCGCCGTGCTGGGAGCCCAGGGCGTGGGCAAGAGCGCCATAGTCCGGCAGTTCCTCTACAACGAGTTCAGCGAGGTCTGCGTGCCCACCACGGCCCGCCGCGTCTACCTGCCCGCCGTCGTCATGAACGGCCACGTCCACGACCTGCAGATCATGGACTTCCCCCCCATCACCGCCTTCCCCGTCAACACCCTGCAGGTAGGGGCGCCCCTGGCTGGCTGCCGAGGGGCCTCCCCGTCACGGGGGTCCCTGGGGACCCTGCGGGCTCCAGGTTCGTCCTCTTCGGGGGGTGCCTCTCCCTCCACGTGGGGGTTGGCTCGCTGGAAGCCAAGGAGAAGGTCACACCCTGATGGCTGCCGACTCTGTGAGCCCAGGATAAAGCTTTTTTCACCTAAAACGATGGCAGCCTGAGGATCCCAGAGCACTGGATCCTGGTCGGTGGCTGCCAGAGCTGGTGCCAGCAAAGGGGCTGGGGGAGTGTGGCCAGAGCATGTGGGTGAAAACCAGGGGGGCCTGGAGAGCCAGCCCCCCATGTACCCGCTGCTGGGCCAGGGGCAATGGGGCCACTTGTCCCCTCCTGCGGTAGCCGTCACCCCTCCCAGCATTGCCTGGGCTTGTCCCCAGAATGCTGGACCCACCAACTTCTCCTCAACCCCCCAGTGCTCTCTGGTGCTCCCAAAACATCCCCAAAAGGCAGCGTGGGGTTGGAAAGTGTTGCCACCAGTGCCAGCTGCTTTGGGGAGGCTTAGTGGGGAAAAGGGGGTTTTAAGTTCATGCCATAGTCTCATCCGTGGGGCACAAGCTGTGCCACTGCTGCAGGGAACGGAGCTGGAGGTGCCCAGCTGTGGCCACAGCCACACCAGAGGGCAATGCCACCAGTGGGGCCACCTCCACGGGAACTGGGCCCTCCTGTGTTTTCAGATTTAGATGAGATTAAAAGGCTGAGATGATCCCGTGCCCGCCAGGGATGGGGTCACAGGGGCCTTGCAGTGCTCTGAGTTTCCCCCGTGCTGCTGGGCAGGAGGAGAAGCGAGCACTCCGGGGGCGAGGAGGAGGTTTAAAAATTAATCAGCGTGTGCAGGGAATGAAAGGTCAGTGTGAGAGACAGCCCGAAATAGCAGAGGGTAATTTATTGACAGGGCAGCCAACGCTAACGGCCCCGATTAACTGCCTGCCTGGCTGCGCCGGGAGGGGGCGGCTGGTGGGAACAGATGGAGGTTTCCAGGGAGGAGAGAGGGTGGTCAGAGGGATGGCTCTGAGGGGAAAGGAAAGGACCACGGCGGGGGGGACACGGCTCTGCCTGCTGGGAAGCATCACTGGGCTCTGCTCCGTGCCTAGCAGCAGCATCCCTGTGGTGTTACCCCAGGAGAGGAGCAGGAGCTGCTGGCTTCCCGACATCCCAGTCCCACACGGGGCCAGGTGGGATGCAGAGTGTGACCCTCCCCCAGCCCCGAGCATCCCAGGAAACCTGCCCCACACGTGGAAAACCATCCCAGCATCATGGCAGCAGGGCGAGCTGCACCCCAGCATGCTGAAATAGCTGCAATTTGTTATTCACCCGGGTGTCCTGGGGCTGGGAGTAACCCCAGAGTAATGCCTGCTTCATCTGCCTGCAGCTCTGCTGCTCTCCTCCCAGCTGCTGCACATCATCTCCTCTCGGTGGCTGTGTCACACTGCTCAGCCACAGCTCCTTCCCGTGCTGCTCGCTGTGCTGGAGACTGACCTGCACCCCAAAACTTTCCTTTCCCCAGCTCCCTTCCATCCTAGATCTTCTTGTTTTGCCTCACTCCGGTGATGAGCTCAGAAAGGGATGATTCACGATGCTGAAGAGGTTTGCCTGGGGAGAAGGGATGCTTTTCCTCCTTGGTGCAGCTTTTTCCTCCCCACTGGTGCTCAGGGGGGTTTGGGGGGCTGCCTGCATGGGCTGCCCTCCCAGCACCCTGCTGGGCTGGGAAAGTGGCTGGAAGTGGGGCAGATTTTCACCCCTATAGTGCGGGAAAAGAAATTCTCTTATTCCTGGAAACCCAAAGCTTCCCTAACAACACATCTCTTACAGCTCCAAATGCTGGCTGTGGAGCAGCCACCCCTGACTGCCTCTGCCCCAGCTCCTGATCTCATTGTTGCAGATCCCACTCTGGAGCAGCTGCTGCTCCTCTCCTGTCCCCATGTCCCCTTCAGCCAGCCCCACCGTCACCTTCCCCCTCTGACCCACGCAGCTGCTGGTCCACCACCCCCAACCCCCAGAGACAGGGGTGTGCTGAGCCCCACTCAGCCCTCGGCATCCTCCTCACCTGCCCTGCCTGAGAACCAAGGCACATCACTAATTAACACACCTCATTAGCAGCTCCGGAGGATGAAGCTTTCAGAAGCAGGGCAGGGGCTGCCCCTACCCCCCTCCCAGCTGGCCTCTGGGCTGCTGTGCATTAGGCAGGATGTGACCCTCACTCCAGAGAGGAGCAGGGGCTGGCAGATCCCATTATCCCCTCGGGATCAGCGAGGGGGATGAGGGATCCCCAGCGGTGGGGGGTGGCTGGAGGGCTGTGGGGGGCAGACCCAGCTGTTGCAGGGGGGTCAGGGCAGAGATGGGGTGCTGGGGTCGGGGGCAGGGAGCATGCAGCACCTTGTTACTTGCCAACATGGCAGCATCCTGGACGTGCCCAGCCCCGGGCATCCCCCAGGCACAGCCGTGGGGCTGAGCCAGGATTGATCCCTCTCTGCACCTTGCAGGAGTGGGCGGACGTGTGTTGCAGGGGGCTCCGGAGCGTCCATGCCTACGTCCTGGTCTATGACATCTGTTGCTTTGACAGCTTCGAGTACATCAAAACCATCCGCCAGCAGATCCTGGAAACGAGGTAGGGGCCAGCAGCACGGCTGGGCTGGAGGGGACCTCCCCCACAGATCCTCGCAGG